ATTCTATTCTATTCTATTCTATTCTATTCTATTCTATTCTATTCTATTCTATTCTATTCTATTCTATTCTATTTTTTCTTATAAACATGCATGTGGAAAACCAGGAAGTATCTTCAAGACAAACCAGATCTACAGTACAGATAGGCCTTGATTTAGAATTGTCTTTTTAGTGACCATTTAAAGTTACAATGGCACTGAAAAAAGTGATTTATGACCATTTCTCATACAGCCATTGCAGCAACCCCACGATCACAGGTGCAAAATTCAGACTCTTGGCAATTGGCTCGAATTTATGATGGCTGCAGTGTCCTGGGGTCAGGTGATCTCCTTTTGTGACCTTCTGACAAGCAAAGTCAATGAAGAAGCCAGGTTCAACTTAACAACCACAGTGATTCACTTAACAACTGTGGCAAGAAAGCTCATAAAATGGGGCAAAATTCACTTAAAAACTGTCTTGCTTAGCAATGGAAATTTTGGGCTCAATTATGGTCATAAATCAAGGACTACCTGCAATTGCTCCAATATGGAATGTTTCTATCTCTAGTGCCAGCAAGTCAGTCAAGTCTTCCCTTGTCCATATTTTCTTACAACCTGTTCCCCTAGTTTTCTTCTTCTCATGGTCAAAGATTCTGTGCCTGTTTACTATTACCAAACAGGAGCCAGGGTGGCGCAGTGGTTAGAATGTAGTACTGCAGGCTACTTCTGCTGAGCACCGACTGTCAGCAGTTTAGCAGTTCGGGTCTTACCAGGCTCAAGGTTGACTCAGCCTTCCATCCTTCCAAGGTTGGTAAAATGAGGACCCTGATTGTTGGGGGCAATAGGCTGACTGTAAACCGCTTAGAGAGGGCTGTAAAAGCACTGTGACGCGGTATATAAGTCTAAGTGCTGTTGCTATTGCTAAATCTTACTCATTTTAAATTTTTCTTTTGTATTTTGCAAATTTCCATGTTCTCTGGACTCTTCTACTTCATTCTCTTGACTACTGTTTCAGTTACAGATAAGCAGTTAAGTTAATTAAGGTATCTGTGATGAATTCTAGAGCAGTCACAGCTTAGGTTAGTATTACAAAACCTTTTTTTATTTCTCAAAAGGATATTTTACAGACTTAGGTGATCATGATGAAAGTGGGCTTACTGTTTTCTTCAATTGTTTCAGAGTAAAAATTAGGGTAGAATCAGTAGAAGATGCTAAAATTGTGAGTTCTGAAATAGTGCCAAGATGGATTCTCTTCAAAGCATCTATCTGATCAAATTTCCCAAGTTTCTCCATTTCACACTTGAGTTGTGACTTCCAGCTGTCACAACTGACAGTAATTGCACCTTGTTTCACTTAAATGATGAGAGGCAGGTCCCGGTGTTTGAAAGATCTGTTTCTGTTTTACTAGAATCCAGAAGTCTATTAACGAGAAGAAAGTGTGAAAGAATGGCTTGTGGAAGATTCAATTATCAAGCATAGCAATCTTTGAGCTTTTCTTTTATAATAAAAGTATAATGATCTCTTGCAAAACGCTCAGATTTATCATCAAATCCAAACTGTATTCTGCCTCCTGCTTATCAAAATCTCTGTTATGTTGCTGTCGTCGGTTTTATAGCCTTGCCTTTGATTGCAAATAACAAGGGTTAAATAATACCAGAGCAATTAACTTTTGGTAGACTAATTTCCAGACTTAGGTGGTCACCTGAAATGTGCAAAGTTACTGTGATTTCCAGATTTGACTAGCAGGCAAGCAGAATGTGGCAAGTAAGTCAAAATTTTAAAAAGGATTCAGCATTGAAAACATCATGTCTGCATGGGCAAACTTTCAAAATGAGGACGATTGATAGGGCCTGTCGATTTTTTCAACTTTCAATTTCCAAACATTAGGGGTGCTCAACAGTTGTGACATGCCTTGGGGATTGTAAAGATATTTGGGTAACTTCAGCTCTTGGTAGGTAACTACATACATATCATAACTTTTTAATATTTTGTTTGTTTCATTATCTTAAGCGCAGGTTCTGGTAGGTGCTCTGAAGGTTTCTGTCAACCAAACAACATACCCCTGACTAAGAAATTAATGCAATATAGATCAGGACTACTTTTATTGTAATAACTATAGTAATAATTTTGCATATCTGAATGGGCTTTCCCGGCCACCCCTTCTCACTTTTATTTTCCCATGAACCAGGGCGGGACTTGTCTGAGAAGTTTTCTCAAGCTATATTCTTGGCCTGGGCTCGAGTCCTGCCTATTTCACCGTTGTCTTGATAGTGACAATTGACTTGAGTCTTCCTCCTGTCATTTAAGGCCATCCCCTCTTCCTTCTCCTGTTTCAGGTTGCACCGAGTATTGCTTGGAAGAAGAAACAAGCTGATCTCGTGGGACTATATTTGTTCAGCCATTGTACTTGAGCAGGGGTGTCAAACTCATGTCGTCACAGCGTCATCACATGACGTATCGCGACTTCCCCCCCCTTCGCTAAACAAGGCATGGGTGTGGCCAGCGCATGATGCATCTGGCCCGTGGGCGGCGAGTTTCACAGCCCTGTATCTGGTTAATGGTACAAGAGCCAGGAAGTTTTTTAGCCTTTCAGCATCTTGACAGGAACGGCATCTTGTTCATTTCTTCCTTGAATTTGTGTGTTATCAGGTCACGTGATTCCCCCTGACAACATTTTACCCATCATCCTCTGCAATGGTCCGTCCAATCAGCTGCTGGAATTTACTTATGAGAAAAGAGGCTTGCCTCAGTTGGTCAGTATTTATTTATTTTCCCCTACACTTCATTGCCTCTTCAGGCAATGGAGTTTCCTAGTTTTGAGTTCACTGAGTGAGCATATTGTCCCTTTGATATTGCTTAGGCCCTTCCTGCTTGATTCCTGTCATCTCGGTTAAGACGGTTGCAAAGGAAACAGATCCTCACTGTGGTTTCCCTTGCAGTTAACCTGTTACTGGACTCCATAAGTCGCTCTCCTTGTAGCAATCTGATTTATTGTATTTCCAGGTCAAGGGAGAAGCCATCCCTAGAGTATTGAAGCATAGATGCTCACAAATGGGGAAAAAGGGAGCTTAGTGCTGTATAGAGTGCATTGGGAAGCCAGCGATAATACGAAGTTGTCCTTGACTTATGGTCATCTGTTTAATGACAGCTAGAAGTTATGATCTCAGGAAAAGTGATTTACAACCTGATATGACTGCTGCATCACCCTGGTGTGTGTGTGTGAGAGAGAGAGGGGGGGAGAGAGGGAGAGAGAGATGATCGCAGTTCAGATGCTTGGAAACCAGCTCACATTTTTGATGGCTGCAGTATTTTTCAATTATTTGCAACCTTCCCAGAAAGATTCTGACAAGCCAAGTTAATTGGGAAAGTTGGATTCACTTAATGACTCTGGTAAAAAAAGGTTGTAAACATGAGCGTGGTCACATGATGACTTGCTTTATGGCTGCATCACTTAACGACTGAAATTCCAGTCCCAATTTCAGTCATCAGTCAAAGGACTACATAGGGATTTCTCATCTTTGTTTTGACAGTTGGATCTGGGACTTTGAAGCAGATAACATATAATCAGAGTTGGAAGGGATCTTGTAGGTCATCTAGTCCAACCCCCTGCCCAAGCAGGAGACTCTACACCATTTCTGACAGATGGGAGTCCAATCTCTTCTTGAAGGCCTCAACTGATGGCACTCCCACAACTTCTGAAGGCAAACTGTTCCATTGGTTGATTGTTCTCACTGTCAGAAAGTTTCTCCTTATTTCCAGGTTAAATCTCTCCTTGTTCAATTTCCATCCATTATTCCTTGTCTGGCCTACAGGTGCTTTGGAAAATAGCTTGACCCTTTAGAAAACAGCTTGAAGTGGCAAAGCAGGCCACTTTTTCTTAGGATTAATTTCAAAAGCCTTCTGAAAGAGATCAGCGCAGACCTCTGAGGAGACTCATCTGCTCCTTCCTAGCAGCCTGTAATTGTGGGAAAGAAGGAACCGAGCAGAAAAAGGGAGGAAAGACGGTGCTGGAAAGAGTAGGATATCCTGTGACACCAGATTCGGAACCCGCTTGCTCCAGATTTGCCTATCCTGTATCCCACAACTGATTCACTCTAAGCATAAGAGTACAGCCTTTGGGTTCGTGAACTCCCTTCCGGCCCAGACCATTCAGTCCCAGGAAGGAAGGTTGTGCTCTCAGCCCTTGATAGAAGAAAGGTTTTCTTTCATGGCTGAAGAAAGGAAATTGCTGGTTTTCTCCCATTTTTCAGATGGAGGAGACGGGGCGGATTCTTTCTAACTTGTGCAACGTTGTTCCAGGAGGTGTGGTGTGTTTCTTCCCTTCCTATGACTATGAAAAACAGGTATACTTGCACTGGGAAAAGACCGGATTGCTTGCCCGGCTGGCGACTAAGAAAAAGGTAATTTGGTAGCCCAGTGCTGCTGGTGACATCAAACATTCGGGAATATTGGTTGGTTCCTCTCCTCTAGTTTTGTTGTAGGTATAGCAATAGCACTTAAGACTTATATACCGCTTCACAGTGCTTTTACAGGCCTCTCTAAGCAGTTTACAGAGTCAGCCTATTGCCCCCAACAATCTGGGTCCTCATTTTACCTACCTCGGAAGGGTGGAAGGCTGAGTCAACCTGGAGCCTGGTGGGATTTGAACTGCCAAATTGCAGGCAGCTGGCAGGCAGCAGAAGTAGCCTGCAGTACTGCACTCTAACCACTGTGCTACTGAGGCACTAATGCCTCATACTGGTCCTGCTGCCTGCACAGTGGAGTGGAGAGGGCCAATCCTTACCTATTGACCTAGCCGTGATACTTGCTGGGTGGCTGATGATGATACTTGAACCATAAAGGTTAAATATGGCTTCATCATTTCCTAAAGCTAAGAAGAGAGTATGGCTTATTTGTGTAGGAAATAGGAAAAAATCGTACAAGCCAACCTGAAATTTGGCTGGGGGCATCACCAAGCCAGCCTTGGACTGTTCAAAAAAAAGGAAAGTAGGGCCAGTTATAATTAGCTCTTGGATGGGCAAAATCCCTGGGCTGTTTGGCCAGACTGGGAAGTTGAAAAACATTCAAGAAGGTTACTGCTTTCACAGGTTTCTAAGAAATTCTAATGAACCTCAGCACCATCAGCAATCAAGGTTGACTTAAGAGAATCTTTATCTTTGGTCATTATGATTATTCCTTACAAATTGAAAATTAGCATGCCGTAAATTGGAAAATTAAAATCCAGCATTTCCATTTCTCCTTTTGTAGGCACACCAGTTGTGGCAAAAACTACAATAGCCAGGAGCCCGAGTGGCTTTTTAGTGCCTTAATGATCTTGAAACGTGGGCAAAAAAGTGTGAGAACAGGGTTGAAGTAATAATATGAACCTAGCTAGATCTGGCCAACGGTTCCTCAAGGAGCATCCTATGTCCTCATGTGGCCAGTTAGATACGTTTCAGGAAGCTCACAAGCATGGGCAGCAAAGCAATCCTCCTTTTGCCATTGTGATTTCCCAGCCACCTGTATTGAAGGCACGCTGCCCATTAGTAATAATAAACCTAGAGAGGCGGGGGAGAATGCATTATCCATTACTCCTCAATGTCCATTAAGACCCAAAGTATGACATTCCCATGACATCATGACCCAAATAACCCTCATCTTGTCATCTGCATCAAGTAAGTTCATTTGTCATAATATCTGCATATTCAACTTTTAATGTAAGACTAGATTACTTCAGATGCAGGAGGCAGTTCTGTTATTTTAGAAGGATGTTTGGATGGAAATTCTGTCCGTTGTATCCAAAGTTTGCTAAATGGGGATCCTTTAAGTCAGTGTTCTTTAGTTTTGGCAATTTAAGGAGTTAGATTCCCAGAATTTTCCAACTAGCATGCTGAGGAATTCTCTGGGGGTTCAAGTCCACATACCTTAAGTTTCCAGTTTTGAGAAAAACACAACTCCCGAGATCTTATATTCACATGGTGCGAATGATGTTCTCCTGTAATTAATGTACGATGCCATTTACAGATATTTCAGGAACCCAAGAAGGCTAACCAGGTGGAGCAGGTCTTGGCAGAATACGCCAAGTGTATCAAGGTACGAAACAGAAGATTGGAAGATTATTGAGCAGTTGGGAAGAGGTAGTAAGTTGATTGTAGAGATACTCCAGCTTTTAACCGTGCATTGCGGACTTACTTTGACACAGCGCTGCAACCTAACAGATGGACCCATGACAGGAGCGCTGCTGTTTTCTGTAGTCGGTGGGAAAATGAGCGAAGGAATTAATTTTTCGGATGACCTGGGAAGGTAAAAATTACTGCTTGTGCTTGGGGGTAGTGGTGGCGGAATTATTCACTGAAATATTTTATATTTAGAATTTAGAGAGTTATGAAATATTGATGGGAGTGAGGGCAGCACACTAAGGTTTGAGCTAATACAAACCAAAGTCTTAATTTTGGGAAAGGCCATTCAAATGCTGATTTGGGGGCTTAGCTTTTAGCACAGGGCTTTTGACTTTAATGAGACATATTCCCCATTGTGCAACAGACTTGAAGGCCAAAATAGAAGATACTAAGATGAGAGGGGGGGAGGAAGACAGAGAGAGAAAACTTGTATGGCAAGTGGGCAAAGCTGTCACTTCCTTCTTCAAGGCAAATTTGCTGTTTCATAAATGTTCCACTTTCCTTTTTTAACACCAGTGTTATTCCTCCCACCCTGCTCTCTGCACCTGCCTTAGTTGGACAGCTGAGCTTGACATGCAGGATGAGAGAAAGCTGTGGCTGCATATCAGCTGCCCCATATTGTCACAAGCAGGTTGTGAAGGCAATTAGGTGGGAGGGTTTTGTAAATTGCGATGCCTAACCACGCTTTCAAAGCCAAAGCAATTTCTTCTTACAAATGAATGCGAAATGAAACAGGCCTCTTCTCATTCGAATAAAGCAATAGTTATCCAAAAAGAGGCCTGGGCTTTGTACCATAAACTCTACCTCTTGGAGGCCAATTTGTATGCAGAATATTATTCCCAAAGGGCTTTCCCCCCCACATTTTACTTAAAGCTCTCTCAAATTGCTGTTTAAGATTCCAAGGGTAAAAATATTAGGCTATGTTGAATGCACTTGATATACCAGCCTGTCCATTGCAGGCGCCTTAGATTGAAATTGTAATCTGTTTTTAAAAAGGCAATTTTACCCACTAATCAAAAATGGTGCAGTGTGTTTCTCCTTGGCATAGGTTTTGACCTTACTTGGTCAAAATAGTGGGATTTTTTTGTTGTTGTTTCTTTTCTTTAGCTTAGAGAAAGCTTTATACACTGGATATTGCTTTATATGTGACATGCTTGGATTATAAATTACTCTGATTGTGTTTCTGAGTTTCTTTTCTTCCTATTTTTGTGTGTCTTTTTTGTAAAACATATAAAATAAAATTACATGGGAGAAAAAATAACCCCCCTTAAATTGAAAGGGTCTATTTGGCATTGCAGGATTATTAATTATTATTAACCACTGAGTCTGGGGCACAGTGGTTAGAGTGCAGTACTGAAAGCTACTTCTGCTGCAGCCAGCTGCCTACAATTTGGCAGTTCAAATCCCACCAGGCTCAAGGTTGACTCAGCCTTCCATCCTTCCGAGGTGGGTAAAATGAGGACCCAAATTGTTAGGGGCAATAGGCTAACTCTGTAAACCGCTTAGAGAGGGCTATAAAGCACTGTGAAGCGGTATATAAGTCTAAGTGCTGTTGCTATTAAGCAACAGCTATTAAATAACTGGGTGATTTATGCGTTTCTTATTTTTCCTCGTTTTCTCTTTTCCTAGGTGTGTAATTATGGTAGGCATGCCCTACCCCAACATAAAATCTCCAGAACTTCAGGAGAAAATGGCTTACTTGGATAAAACAATGGTAAAAGGTTCTTTGGATTCTA